CCTGCTCTGAGACCATTCTTTCTTATAGAGCCATTGCTCATGGAGGTATTGTCTTTTCAGAGTCTCATAATAGGCAAACAGGCCTAAAGCATTAATCTAATTCTTCTATGCCTAAGATAATGCTATCATCTTATCAAGTAAACATGAGTAAAAAAGAAAAGATTTAAGTATAAGGACAGACTTCTTAGGGAAGTCATCTGAGTTAGAAGGCCATCATTGGGATTTTAATACTGGGCTACAAAGAGAAGTCACTGGAACTTAGATATCATGAATCTTATTAGCTTTTTAATTATCAAGGAGACCAGAATTTACTTTGTTACTATAAGCATTCTAGACTGCTAAATGACAGAATGGCATAATTCAGGCAAAAAGCTGAACAAGAAGTCCCTTTTTATGTGTTAGATATGGGAGGGACTACAAAGTGAATAACACTCAGTCCTTGACCTCCATGTCTTTACAATTTACAAAACCATCTCTGAAAATAACTTTGAGACAACATCGAGTCAGTCCCTCAGTGTGAGAAAGCTCAATGCTAAGTTACGAAATAGAAAAGAACATGAAGATTTGCTGCCACTCATTCATTACAGTGGAGTCACATGTTTTTTTAGGAAGGAGTTATATTCGAAAGCAAATGACTGAGAGACATTTTTCTTAGTAAAAATTATACTTAAACATTTCTTAGGGAATTGTGCGGGATCATTTGGGCCAGTTTTTCTTCCGTGATTTGAACAGATTATTGTTTCTTTGGCCAAACACTCTGGTTACAAACTATGTCATTTGAGAAATCTGTATCTTTAAACAATGTATATACATTTGGAAATTCGGTTTTGTTTTGTGTTTTTTTTTTTAAAGAACATAACTGGTATCACACTGAACTTATTATTCATCTGGTTTATCCTCCTCCTCCAACTCCTCCATCCCAAGGTGTTTAGGAGGTCTTTCAATGTAAGTACCTGTGGCAAGATGTGTTTTCCAAAAATGGCCACAGCAATATCTGATCCCACATGCTATTTGAGAACCTTGCCTCTCCCCATAATGAGGTAGCGTCTATTTCCCCTCCCCTTGAACCTGGATGCAACTTTGTGATTATCCAGATAAATATAATGCAGCAGAACTGACATGCATGACTGCTAAGGCTGGGTCATAAAGGGTGATATGCTTCTGCCTGGCTCCCTCTGGGGATACTGGACCTTAAAACCTAACTACCATGGTGTGAGGAAGTCCAAACCAATCTATGCTAAAAGACTATTTAGAGTGGTCAACCTGGAATAGAACTGAGGCCTCCAGCCTCTAGCCAGCATCAATCACCAGCGTTAGAGATAAAAGTTTTCAGATAATTCCAGTCCTCAGCCTTTGAATCTTCCAATTGCATCATGGAACAGAGAAAAGCCATACATCCTGTGTTCTGTCTGAATTCCTGACCCACAGATTCTGTGAGAATAATAAATGGTTGTTTTATACCACTGAAGTTTGAGAGTAATTTGCAATACAGCCATAGTAATGAGCAGTTATTTTAATCTTTTAAACAGCATAATTAACAGTATTATGTGTTATAAGCTTATTTAGTCATTCCTGTATTTACAGACACTTAGGTGGCTTGAAATTATTTTTGCTATTACAGACAAGGTTGAAATAAACAAGATTCTACATGCCTATTTCTGCACAGATGTCACTATTTCTCAGGATAAAAGCCTGTAAATGAGTTAATAAATACATAAGACAATCAGAACAGTGCCTGGCACATAGTAACAAATTTTGTTATTATCCCTATAGGTTGAACCTCTCCATGGAAGGTGATAGTTTTCCTTTAACATCCTTAGTAACAAGGACTCTATCAATTGTATCTAATAGCCATGCTACAGTGCTGTATTAGTACATTTCTGTGTTGCTATAACAATACCTGAAACTGGATAATTTATAAAGAAAAGAGGTTTATTTGGTTCATGATTATGGGACAGCCGCGAAGCGGCAGGCAGGGGAACAAGCAGATCACACGGTGGGAGTAAAAGAGAGGGAGGGACGAGGGAGGGGGGGAGAGAGCGAGGGGGGGAGGGAGGGAGAGAGGGAGAGAGGCAGGGAGGGAGAGAGGGAGAGAGGGAGAGAGGGAGAGAGGGAGAGAGGGAGAGAGGGAGAGAGGGAGAGAGGGAGAGAGGGAGAGAGGGAGAGAGGGAGAGAGGGAGAGAGGGAGAGAGGGAGAGAGGGAGAGAGGGAGAGAGGGAGAGAGGGAGAGAGGGAGAGAGGGAGAGAGGGAGAGAGGGAGAGAGGGAGAGAGGGAGAGAGGGAGAGAGGGAGAGAGGGAGAGAGGGAGAGAGGGAGAGAGGGAGAGAGGGAGAGAGGCAGGGAGGGAGAGAGGGAGAGAGGGAGAGAGGGAGAGAGGGAGAAAAAGAGAGGAGGTGCTATGGTCTTTTAAATAACCAGTGGAACTAATAGAGCAAGAACTCACTCACTATCCCCACTACCCAAGGACAGCATTAATCTATTCATGAGGGATCTGTCCCCATGACTCAAAACAGCTCCCAACACAGTCACATTGGGGATCAGATTTCCACATGAGTTTTGGGGGGACAATAACATCCAAACTTTATCAAGTGTATTCTACTTTTTAGAGGCAAAAAGTTGCAAACATGTTCAGCCACAGAATTATATCCCTGAAAATGTCCTTGTGCAGCACACCTGACCAGCTCTACAAATCAGTTTAAAAACCTAATTTGCTCAGTGTGCAGGTGAGTTACGCTACCTGCTTCTCAGCTCAGATCTGCTAAAAATCATCAGTTGTGGACTTGAGCAGAAAAAGTCGAGCCACACACTCAAGCGTGTGCTGCAGTTTTATCCCTTCTGCAACTGCAAGGCAGAGCACTTGGGAGGAAGGATTAGGACATCTCGTTACCTATGTTTCCTAATCTATCACAATTCATGTCACAAGTTTAGGGATGTGCTTCTTAGCCTCTGTCACTCTCTTCCATCATCTCTCTCTAACCCTGCCCCAGGCGTGCTTGCAGCTGCAACACCTGTTCGTCACATTTACCTCGTTCTTCTGGGCGGGGGACGGGGAGTAAGGAGAAAGAGGAAGCGGTCTACCTGTTCTCTTACCTCAAAGGGGCAAATGCTGGTTAAACTTAATTCATATTACAAACAACCAGGTTTCGATAGCCATCCCCATATTTTCACAGCTCAAACCTTTGAATTTCCTCTCCTTCTAGCTTTGCTTTTCTGATCTGCCCCATTTTTAACCGCTCCCGCCCCTGGCCAGGGCAAACTTTAAACGATGTGCGGCTGAGGAAAGGCATTTTAGGTGACTTGTAAACGGCCTGATCCACAGGCCCCGAGCTGTCGGGAACCGTTGCAACTCCGTGGGGTCAGTGAAACTGGAGCAGGGAACGCCAGCCCGGCCCATACCTCCACCGCCCCGCGTGGCTAGCTCCACGGGTTGAAGAGCCCCCAAACCGAGGAGAGGGTTGGGAGCCGGTGACTGCAAGGCCCTCTGCAACTTCCCCACCCCACAGCTCCACCCGTTGGTCCTCAGACTCCCCGGAAGCCCGCAGGAGACACCTTCGTCCCCGCCCCTCCACAGGTCATCTCGCCCTACGCCCCTTTCCCTCGGCCCCGGCAGCCGGCAGGCAAGGAAGTGTCGTAAAGGCAGGCCCAGGAAACTTTACCCGGGGTAACAACCGAGGCGCTTTACGGCGGCGGCTGAGTGTGAGCCTTGGCGGCTGTGGAGGCGGCTGCTGCAGCAAAGGAGGCGGCGGCGGTGGCTGACGAAGAGGAGTGGCGGCAGCGGCGGCGGGGACCGGTGCGGGGTGAGCCGTGAGGAGGCGACGGGGAGGGGCCGCGGGTGACAGGGCTGGCGGATGGGCCTGGGCGGATGGGGACGGTGGCCGGCTGAGCAGCTGGGCGGCGCTGAAGAGCGGCGGG